CAATGATGGCTGCAACCAAAAAATGGCCAGGCGTTGTGGCGGGCGCCTGTGGTCCCAGCTACTTGGGAGGCTGAGGCAGGAGACTCGCTTCAGCCCAGGAGTTGGAGGTTGCTGTGAGTGTGATGCCATGGCACTCTACCAGGGGGACAGCTTGAGGCTCCATCTCAAAAAAAAAACCAAAACTAACTTGTAACTACCTTATGACCCAGAGATTGTGCTCCTGGGCAGTTATGCCAGAGAAATTCAAATTAGATTCACACAAAAACCTGCAGGTGAATGTTCAGAGCAACATTTGTTTATGACAATCCAAAAAAAAAAAAAAAAAAAGAGTCTATGTTGCCCTGGGTAGAGTGCCGTGGTGTCACAGCACACAGCAACCTCCATTCTTGGGCTTAAGCGAGCCTCCCAAGTAGCTGAGACTACAGGCACCCACTGCAATGCCTGGCTATTTTTTTGTTGCAATTATCATTATTGTTTAGCTGGCCCAGGCCAGGTTCAAACCCACCAGCATCAATGCATGTGGCTGGCACCGTAACCACTGTGCTATGGACGCTGAGCTGACAATCAAAATCTCAAGCTGTCACCCTGGGTAGAGTGCTGTAGCATCACAGCTCACAGCAACCTCCAACTCCTGGGCTCAAGCGAGTCTCCTGACTCAGCCTCCCAAGTAGCTGGGACCATAGGTGCCCGCCACAACACCCGGCTATGTTTTTTTTGGTTGCAGCCATCATTGTTGTTTGGCGGGTCTGGGCTGGATTTGAACCCACCAGCTCAGATGTACGTGGCTGGCTGGTGCCTTAGCCAGTTGAGCTACAGGTGCCGAGCCAGCAAAGTCTTTTAGTGGGTGAGTGGTCAACATGCCGTGATATATCTGCACTATGGAATACTGCTCAACAAGGAAAAAGGAACAAACTATTGATGGGCAGAGGAAGTTGGATAAAGTTCTAGGGAATGACACTAAGTGAAAAAAGCCAATTCTAAGGGGCCAAGCACTTCATGATTCTCTATATACATTCCTGAACTAACAAAATCACAAAAATAGAGAACAGATCAGAGGTGGCTACAGGGGTTGTGACTATAAAAGAGCAGTGTGAGGGATCCCAATGGTGAAGGAAATGTCCCAAAGTTCTGCGTCCTGACAGTCTCGGTCAACATCCTGGGAGTGAATGTGTATTACAATCTCACCAAAGGTCATCAATGTGGGTAACTGTATGAAAGCGACACAGCATCTTTCTGTATTTTTTCTTCCTGTTTTTGTTTTTTTGTTGTCTTTGTTGCTTTTTATAGCCAAGGTCTCCCTAGTTTTCCCAGACTGGTCTTGAACTCCTGGCCTCAAGCAATTCTCCCACCTCAGCCTCCTGTAGTGCTAGAGCTACAGGCACAAACCACCATGTCTGGCTCTCTATTATTTCTTACAATTGCACTTGGATCTACAATTATCTAAGAATAAAGTTTAATCATAAATAAATAAACCAACTGCTGCTGAGATCTCTTTTCCCTGCTAGTCTCATCTGATGGATACTGGGCATGTTCAAGGCCATGATCAGGATCAGACTCCTGCTCCCAGATTCAGTGCTGGGTGCCTGTCACTCTAACCTCAATCAATTTTTTGTTCAATAAACATTTATTGAGCAACTATCTGCTAGGCCCTAAGTCAGGCACAGAGGATTCTGAGGAATCCTGGATGCAAACTCTCAAGAGTCAGCATAAATGGAACTGAAGTGACCTGGTCTCCCTCAGCCTTCCTGGTCAGTTCTGAGAACACAGCCCTCAGGCTTGTCCCCACAGAGGCCTCCCTTCCTAAACCAGCAGTCACCCTTTATGACAGCACCCATTTCTGTTCGGGTATTAACTGCCACCAGGAAGTGGTAAATCTGTGAGCTTGCTTCCTGTCTTCCCACTGGAATACAAACCACATACTTGTACTGGCATGCCAAGTACCTCATCACACACATACTTTATACTCAGGAAAGATCGGCTGAAGGAATCAGAATTCCCCCTCCCCCAAACTCCATAAAAGCCAAATATCACTCAACGTCAAGTCTGGCAAATAGTAATAAAATATAGTTTTTAAAAAGGGAGCCATGTTTGTCAAACAAGTGCCTCAAACACTTTATGACCTGGATGGGCTCACTTACTCACTGGAGACTGAACCTGGGAGGAGGCCTCACACTGGTTCTTAAGAGTAACTCTGGGCTTGGCACCCATAGCCCAGTGGTTAAGGTGCCAGTCACATACACTGAGGCTGGTGGGTTTGAACCCAGCCCAGGCCTGCTAAACAACAATGACAAATGCAACAAAAAAATTGTCAGGCATTGTGCCAGGCACCTGTAGTCCCAGCTACTTGGGAGGCTGAGGCAAGAGAATCGCTTAAGTTCAAGAACTGGAGTTTTGTGAGCTATGACGCCACGGCACTCTACCAAGGGCGACGTAGTGAAACTGTCTCAAAAAAGAGAATAATTCTGGCTCGGTGCCCGTAGCTTAAGCAGCTAAGGCGCCAGCCACATATACCAGAGCTGACAGGTTAGAATCCAGCAGGGGCCGCAAAACAATGATGGCTGCAACCCTCCCCGCACCCAAAAAAAAGCTGAGCCTCATGGTAGTTCTTGTAGTCCCAGCTACTTGGGAGGGAGGCTGAGGCAAGAGAATCACTTAAACCCAGGAGTTGTAGGTTGCTGTGAGCTGCGATACTACAGCACTCTACCCAGGGCAACAGCTTGAGGCTCTGTCTCAGAAAAAAAAAAGAGTAATTCTGAAAGCAGAATGCCCTCTAAAGTCCTATGCAAAGGCAGCACAGAAAGGCAGCAACACTGAATTAAGCACAAAAGTTCTAGCACATCTTCATCATTACTTTATAGCTGTGATTCTCATCTGCAGCTGTACATCAGACTCACCTTTGGGCAAGGGAAGCTGTTAAAAATCCCAATTCCCGGCTCAGCCCCTATAGCTCAACCAGCTAAGGCGCCAGCCACGTACACCTAAGGTGGCGGGTTC